ATGTTTTATTCGGGAGTAATTAGTTAATTTTGTTGGGTAAGATTTAGGGTAAATGATTGGTAAACTATAATTTAAGCTGTTTATGGAAAATGGCGCCATGCGCTCGGTTATGTAACTACTCGTCTTCGTTACAGCGGATATATAGTAGCGTGCAGCCATGCAACATGTACTGCATGCTCCTGAGAATGCAGGTAGTGCAAGTGAGCTGCCAGACTAAATAATTAGTTTCCAGAAGTAGCGGTTAGTCTCCAGTCTGCTTAAAGAGCTTTTAACTCAAGCTTTGAAAGTTCATTAGTTTGTGGCCAGCATTTACGACTTCTCTGTCACACCTTTCTCATGTAGCTGCTCTCACTTATTGTTTAAGTGACACTAAAACTTGACCGTAAATGCCTGAGACCTTCAACGCAGTCGCTCAACCACAGACTTGGTTTTTTTAAAGAGATCCCAAGCGATCGTAAAGTAAAAGGACGGTTTCGTCGATGTCTTCACAAGAAAATCCCGCTCACTGATTTGACTTCGACGCAGCATAATAATATACATCGAATATTTTATGATTTAAACATATGGAGCTATGGTTTGCATTCTATAATTATAACCCATTTTTTTAAACAAATTTCAGTCAAAAAACTGAAGTAATTGTACTTTACAAGTAATAACTTAAGCTTGATTATTAGTCACGATTATTAGTCAGCGAAAAAGTTGTTACCTATTTGCTATAATACGTTTAATTTGTATTTTAATCGCCCTTAAAATTTTGTGTTGTAGCATTTTAATCTACCATAACACGTGCATGAATTATATGGTTCCTGCATTTATTTTATCAAAGCTTGCTTTGCATATCATCACTATACGCTGTCTGAAGCAGAAAATTCTTAAATCCATTTTCACTCTAGAGGAAAAATCTGTGGGTGAAACCTTGTCCTTTTTGTAATATTGGCATCAATTGGAATGCTTTAATTTTTTTAAAATTGTTGATGGTTGCAAAAAAATGAGCAATAATTATTAAAGTAAATGTTCGTGTATCCAATATTATATTGCGATACAAGAATAGACTTTTCAGAACAGTACCACATAGTTATTGCTACAAATACTACAAGCAAGATGCTACAATTATGGCTACAAGCACAACACGAAACCTTATAACATGAATACAAATTTCACAAAATACAAGCACATAATTATTGACACATATACTACAAAAACATAACGTGAATATCGCTATGAGATCTACGCATAACACTTTAAAATAATTATTGTCCCAACAAGCTATACTAAGAACAACCTAATTCTCGTAACAATCTTAACAAAACGCTATTATATACTCAGTTATCACTACAAAATTGACTATGCATTATACAGGCTATTCCTTATTACTAGCTTTAATCATACACAAATTTCGAAAGCGTAATCGAAGGCTACATCTTTTCATTGGTTTAACTCATGTTTACGTGACTGCTTAGAAGTAAGTTGAATGTGATCAAGCTCAAGAAGCTCTTCGGATATTCCAGCAATTAGGATTTTAAGAGGATCACACTTTTTTATTGACGGTAAAAGTGCATGTTTCTTTAAATTTTCAATTCACGATAGCTGCTGTTCACAAGTTGTCGCTAATATTTTGAGAGTTTATTCCCTTGGATAGCGCGTTGCGTGAGTTCAGAAGCTGCTCTTCCCGCGCTCCATTCGCATGTAATGGTAGTGCATTGATAGGCTTGTAATCGCAGCGGCACAAAGCGATTTTCCCCCAACAAATCTATGCAGTGTGCATGTCACTAAATGCTAGTAAGTTTACTTATACATGCTAGATGAGCTTATTTATATAAGTTGCCACTACTGTGCAGTTAAATTCACATGGTGACTTGCTTGATGTTTATTGTCGCGTTATGTTCTTTTGAACTTCAACGTTCATTTATCTACCTTGAAATTGGTTGCCTTGCATAAGTTCAACGAATACAAATTTTCGTATCAGTTCAAAGTTTCCGTTTTCTCATTCACCAAGTGATTTTTCTCTAGTGCCTAATTACAACCACTTCATTCGTAGTTAAGTTTCCTGATGGAATTAACCCTCTACCGCCGTATGTCTTCTCCGGGAACATACAATTATACGTAAACTATTTAGTGTAGCAACCGGAGGACGTTTGTACGCAACCTAGAACATTTTAAAGTTGTGGAACGTTGCGGCAAAGATCAGTGCAAGTAATGTTGAGCTCACTGGAATAGTGAGCTCAACTTTTTTTGGGAATATTGGCTTTTGAAAATATTGCTATGGTACTCATGTCAGGCGGTAGAGGGTTAATACAATTCACCGTCCGTACGTAGAACTCACGTAGTTGAACGTGTCAGAGCTGTCGCGAGGTCCCCAGGGTTGCGTGCGGGAGTCCCACAAACAAGTCTGTCGCGTTGGTAGCGGCAGTTTACTCTGCATCGTAAGCTCTCAACTGCATTCATTAAGCATCGTTAGCAAGCCCAAGTATGCACCATAAACTATGTTGGCAGCAGGTCCTTAGCTGATTCATGATGCAAGATAATTAGTAATGTTTTTATTAACAGGACACCGGAAGGGCTTTGCTCGTTGAATGTCCGAACTCGCGTTGGATATATCGCTCGTTTTCTCTTTCTGCAGTAATAATATGTGGCAGAAGTGTATTATTGAATGCTACTTCCATTAAAGTTCAAAAGACCAATTACAGGGTTATCAAACGTAGCTTCAACCATTACCATTTATTATGACTGTCTTAATAAACTATCTTTCATTGTAAATACAGAATCGTTTCGAGCACGACTACCTTGTAATTTGTGCACTATAAGACTTTACGACTTCGGATATTGCCTCCAAATTTGGCTAATCGTCAATTGGTTGATGTTACTAAGAAATAGTGCCATCGATCTTGGTGAAATGCGCATTAAACGAGCCATCACAGACATGCAAACTTCCGACATGTTCAACACGTCAGTGCATTTCCTCATTATTTTGGAGCAATTCAACGGGACTTTAACATCAATGTAAACTATATATAGGGGAGCGACAGGTATACCGTTTGTTAAAACATAGTAATGATGACTGACATCGGGAATAGTGCTTAATGATAGCAATCATTCTTGTTTACTGGCAATTATCTATACACTGCATCGAAAGATATCATGCGCTTGATCAGCTCCAATAATAGGTCACGAGTGTTTGAAAGTCAGGTGATGCATTCAGGACTGCCTTCATATATTAAGAAAAACACGGGCTTACATCCTTAAATTATCTGTTCTCCACTCGCAATACTAATCAATGATCATGGATAGACAATCAAAGACGACTACGAAAAATGCAAAATGACTGTACCGCTTCCCCTCCTAGCAGGTCTAAACTCGTATAGTATATAGCAAGTTTCATTTGCTCCAAGTCTTCATCAAACTCGTTTCATGCCATTATTTGCACCATCCATAACGATTTGAATGCTAAAGTCATTTGCTGCGAGAAATGATCAGAAATTACCCTTATTGTCTCTTTCTGAGGATAAACTACTTCAAATTCCACTTCCAGTCAATGATTTCTCGACATAAACTATATATAGTGCCACCAAAATCCGGAACGGTCGGTGATCGTTAGCTACACCAATAATTTCATCCAATAAACTCTCTAAATAGTAGAGCTCTACTTCTTACCTAAACACCTCAAATGTGAACGAATATTTCGACAGCTGTAATTTTTCCAACGTCAGTACCATATTTTGATCTCGATTGCCCAACAAAACAAAGTTCGATGAGTGCATGCGTCTCTTTTCAGTTCGGACAATAATATTATTGGCTTCGCCCAAAAACTTGTGTAGTGTGATATCGACGAAATTTGTTACTTTGTTTTCTTAAAACGTGCCTTCAAATATCCGCGAAGTTCGAAACTGTTGATATTTAAAAACGATTTAGACGATGCTCCAGCCGTTTAAGTGATTTGAAAAAAGCTATATTTGAATTCATGTATGAGTTTAACTCTGTTTATTTTGCTCATATACGAAATTCATTGATCAATGAATGGATATTTTACTAAGTTGATTAGAATAAATGATATGATTGGAAATATTATATTATGCTCATCACAACAGGTTTCCAAGTTACAGCCTTGTTGTTAAAGTAAGATTTTAAAATAAATTACCGAAATCCTGCGTTCTGCAATCCACATGCAGTATTATGAGACTCTCGTTATAACTCGAAATGCTATATGATTCTCTTTTGAAACTAAAAAAATGAAGGTAAAATTAACACTAACCCTGACCTAAAAGACCAATTACGCGCCGAAGCCACCAAACAGCGTGGCTCATCGACCTCAAAAGTCCTTACCCCAGCTCTACGCCTGGCAGCAAAGCAATTACGAGATAACGACGAAATTGTAATTCGAAAAGCTGATAAGAGCAACATCTTCGTCATTTTGGACAAGACTGACTATAATTCAAAAATAAATGACATCATATCGGACGAGTCAAAATTCCGTCGCGTCGGCCGAGACCCTACAGAACAACTTCAAAGAAAAGCCAACAAACTAATAAATACAGCGAACTCAGTTGTCGGCTCAAGAAAGCTAACCCCGATCGTCGGGAGTTTCTCGCCAGGTTATATACCTCTACGGAAATGTTAAAAATCACAAAGACAATAATCCGCTACGGCCCATAATCGCTCAAGTCACCTCTCCAATCTACCGGACAGCCCAAGAGTTGGATGCTATAATAAAACCGTACATACCGAAGAAATTTTCACTCAGATCTAGAGGAGACTTTTTGGAGATCCTTCACAATCGGCGCCCATCTGGTCAGCTCGCTTCACTTGACGTCAATAGCCTATTCACCAACGTCCCAACCGAACAAACTTTAGAAATAATAATCAAATATGTCTACTCTAATGAAACTTTGCCGGCCCCATCAATCCCGAAAAATATTCTACTTGATCTCCTCCGCCTCTGTACTTCAGAATCGCCTTTTCGAACCCCAGATAACAAAATATACCAGCAAATTAACGGTGTAGCAATGGGCAGTCCTCTTGGTCCAACATTCGCCGAATTCTACATGTGCGAACTCGAAAACTGTGTATTGTTGGATGCACAAATCAAACCTGACCTTTACTGTCGATACGTCGACGACATCTTCGTCATCGTTCGAGACGAAGTTCACATGATGGAGCTGCGCGCGGCTTTAGAACGCAATTCCGTGTTGACATTCACTTACGAATTCGGACAAAATCAGACGTTGCCTTTTCTGGACATACTGGTGCAAGACGATAATAATTCGTTCGTCACTAAAGTTTATCGGAAACCTACAGACGTCGGAAAGGTCCTGAACCAAGAAAGCGAATGTCCCCAGCGCTACAAAATCAGCACCATACGCGCCCTCATACATCGAGCGTTCAAGACTTGTACATCCGCTCATGACTTAAAAACTGAACTCCGGACCTGCAAACAAATTCTTGTCAACAACGGGTATGCAAATAAAACGATTGACAAAGAAATTTCAAATATCAGAGCACGTCAAAACCGAACAGATGAATCCACATCAAGAGCTTGCGTCACCAGAATCTACTATCAAAATCAGATGAACGGCGGTCATAGGACTGACGAACGAGTACTTAATTCAATTGTGCAAAATAACATCAGCTGCACAACAATAACTGACCGATTACAACTTTTGATTTATTACAGAAACAAAAAGATCAAGAATTTGATCATGAAAAACAATCCATGTAAAAAGTCCGGACATGAAATTATTCTCGGATTAATTTGATTTTCGATTTTGAACCGTATCTACGATACTTTCTGTATGAACTTATGTCATGTCCAAATTTCAATTTTAGCGTTGTAATAACTGTTCACTTGCTTGATAATGAATATTGATATATTCGAAACATCGCACTGCAATAAAATGTCATTCGGTAACCTGCTTTTTGATCTCCAAGCTCCAGCTAGAAATTTCGTTCGGCTCATCGAAAAAAACAATAAGAAAATCGTAAATAAAAAGTACGCTCTGGTCTTCAACCAAACCTGTATAAATGAAGAACTTCTGCCTAACTACACTAATATTATGAGACTAAGCATGCATAGAAAAATTTATTGATCTGAATAAAGTCCTGGAAATAATTTTATTATATTGGTGCAGCGATGAATGGAGACTGCACGACAACGCCTACAGGGGTTAATTAGTCTGGTTAAATCGCAAATTCGCCATAAATTTAAAAGCAACGGGAATGCCAAATGAGTTCACTATTTTATCAATGAAAACGTTTCCGTTAAATAAATGTGATCCTATTTGGCGTTTACTGTGTTTTTAAACTTTTACATGGTTAAAATATAGTGCGTGTTTTCAGGGAGTTGCAAGAAATTTTAATTTATTGTAAACTAAATTGTCTGAAGCACAGGATGTCGGCGGTACTGTATTAACGTGGTCAGTTGATGAATTAGGCTGCGAAATGATGAGAGGAAAAAATTCACTGCATTAGCTGTACTTAATTTATTTTGAGTCGTGAATATATGCTCACAAATAATATGCTGGAAAGTACTCCAACCAAGTTGCACAATACAATGTACACTTATAGTGTAAAGGAAATTTAAATGAGGTAACAGGAAATTAAAATTATTCCTCCAGCTTCAACTCTATGAAATGTCTATGTCTCTATATGGAAATATAATCGCTTTTTCAAAATCTTTTATATCAATATAATCAATCAGTATCCATATGAGATCATCCATGGACATTGCATGCTAATTGAGATCATTCCGTGCTAATGAGATCATAGTTGCATGCGAATAAATAACTAAAGTTGTGACGGAGTCTCACTATATGACCTGGAGAATTAGACTGCCAAACCATCAACACGCGCCATGCATGAGTCACTCACCATACGCACCCCTTGGCAAGTGTCAGGCGTGTGACAGTGAGTGATGCGTCGCTAATGAGGCGACGTCAGCACCAACATTAACCTCGACACTTCGCTGACACTCACATCAGCTCACACAAACTCACCAGCCCATCCGACACCTATCCTCCTGTGCATTTAATTCAATGACGAGAATCTCATACATTGTAAGTGAAAATATAAGGTTCATGGCTCAAGTCATAAATGAAAATATGATTCATGGCTCACGGAAACACATAAGCCTGGAACTTGTTGCCGAATTAGAGGAGAATCTCATAAGTGAAAATAAGACTCATGGCTCAAGGAAGCATATACTTTTATGTGTATATGCAAGTTTTTAAGGAAGCATAAACTTGTTGCCCAATTATTCATAGTATATTTTAATCCTGTGCATTTTAACTCAATGACGAGAATCTCACAAGTGAAAATAAGATTCATGGCTCAAGGAAGCATAATACTTTTAAGTATATGCAAGTTTTTAAGGAAGCATAAACTTGTTGCTCAATTATTCAGAGTATATTTACACTAAATTTTATTACCTGGAACAAATTTCCTCCTGAATAGTTATTTTTTTAACCTATTTGGTCTGTCTCAGTAACCATATCAGCTCCCAAAAATTCTTCATGATTAATTAAATGTGCAACAAATATTTGTTCATAACGAATACGAAATTAGTTGCGGGAACTTTTAACGATTTTTCAACGGAAGGATTATGAATATTTACTCGACACGATACAACTATATTTACTCATGATATTTCTGATAGATAATTGCACGATAATTGCACGTCTAATTTTGTTTATCTCCTCGTTTCTCGTCGTATTTTTTCGTCTTACTTCATCTTCCCTTTGTCTATCGTTGTCAAATTTCGTACCTTATCGTCTCTCGTCGAAAAATTCTATCTCCTCCCTCGTCTCTTGTCGTCCAACATCGTCTCCCCTCGTCTCCCGTCTTCTAATTTTGTTTGTCCCCTCATCCCCCTAGCCTCCCTCACTGCTGTGACAGAGACAGAGCACTGCGTGACACTGACAGATGAGCTCAGTCTGGCTTGTCACTGCCGCACCACTACACTGCTGCACCACTGCACTGCAGCACCACTGCACTGTTGCATCGCTGCACTGCAGCACCACTACACTGTTGCATCACTGCACTGCCGCACCACTGCACTGCTGCACCATGCACTGCACTGCTGCATCATTACACTGTTGCATCACTGCACTGCAGCACCACTACACTGCTGCATCACTGCACTGTTGCACCACTGCACTGCTACATCATTACACTGTTGCATCACTGCACTGTTGCATCACTGCACTGCTGCATCACTGCACTGTTGCATCACTGCACTGCTGCACCACTACACTGTTGCATCATTACACTGCAGCACCACTACACTGTTGCATCACTTCACTGCAGCACCACTGCACTGCTGCATCACTGCACTGTTGCATCACTGCACTGTTGCATCACTGCACCGCTGCACCACTACACTGTTGCATCACTGCACTGTTGCATCACTGCACTGTTGCATCACTGCACTGCTGTATCACTACACTGCAATTAAGACTACATTGCACCACAACACCACTAACGGCTCATAAGAGCGCACCATATTCCTTCAATACTCTGCACTATACTCTTGCAGTATAGCGGCTTGCCAACTTCACTGACTACTGATGCAGAACTGGTACGTACATATACGGATGGACGCTGTGCATTGAACCTAAGCACTTTGGTATAAATGTGCTATCATACTACAGCACCGTCGTTGGGTAACAGGAATATAGTGCAGCATAAACGTTGGGTAACAGGAATATAGTGCAGCATCAACGTTGGGTAACAGGAATATAGTGCAGCATCAACGTTGGGTAACAGGAATATAGTGCAGCATCACAGTTGGGTAACAAGAATGTAGTGCAGCGTAAACGTTAAGCAGCATGAATATAATACTACTCCAACGCAGGGCAGCATATGAACGATTTTAGTTAATCATATTTTATTTCGCAAAATGTTTAGTGACCAACTCACGACAATTTAGATCTGTTGCCAGCCGCTATGCACCAGCCCTGCTTCCCAATGTTCAATTCGAAGTGTATACTTTCTCTATGCTCTAATTATCGGCGCATTAAGTAAAGTGAAAGTAAAGCTGTTAATACTTACTTATACCCGGTGCGGTACCTGCAAGGCAATTATCTGGTGGTACTGGATGATGGTACCAAAATTGCTAGTGTTACGTGATCGCAAAATGTTTCAAAAGCATTGCACCGTAGCTGTGCCACGCCAATTAACGTACTGTAGGGACTACCATAGTTGATTTCAACTGTATACTAATCAAATAATCTCAACTACTTCTTTTCTGATGATAATGGGGCCCTGTAATTTAAAAACATATAAAATTTTTAATTTTAAAATAAATAAATCGTTTCACTATTTATATATATATATATATAATTATATTAGTGTAGGCTGGCAGAATTTCTTCTCTTAAACAAGTTTTGTCTATCGGTATCGGTTAAAATGTCTATCGGTAGTTTAATTTTCAATCTTCCAACACCTACGAAGAATTTAGTACGACTTATTGAAAAAAATAACAAGAAGTTAATAAATAAAACTAATTCTCTGGTCTTTAACAAAACTTGTTTAATATAATTATAAATGTATAATGCGATAATGAATAATATTTTCCGAATTAATTACACATACGATAACGTGCAGCAAAGTACAATTTTGTTCCACTAAATACAAAAGGTACATTGTTCCATTAGTGATTAATGTTCGGCAAACTTAATAAATCTTTTTTTCATATATATGTCAAACATAGTCTGCAATATATTCTCGAAATTATTTTCCTCTTCATTTGACGCACAATAATTACAAATGAAGGAAAGGATTGAGTTTAATCTCAATTGATGTGCCTATATAGCAAGTATTCGTCATTTGCACGGCAAGACAGCGCTGAGTCAAGGGTTGTGACTTAGTTGAGGGCGACGCGCTGTCACGAGGCCGTTAAGCCTGGTTAATGAAGTATATTTCAATTGATGTGCCTATAGTAAGTATTCGTCATTTGCACGGCATCAATTGATGTTCCTATAGCAAGATTCGTCCTTGGCGCGAAAGACAGCGCTGAGTCAAGGGTTGTGAGTTAGTTGAGGGCGACGCGCTGTCACGAGGCCGTTAAGCCGTGTCACCGCGGAAGCGGTCGGCGGCTCTCACTAAAAGAGACCAAACTTGTCGGCTAAAAGGCGAAGTGTCTGCACCAGAGAGCGAGGAAGACGACTGACAGGCGTCCCCTGACGTGGCGAGATGGATGGTGTAGGCCGCTAATGGACGGCCGCTTGTATACTGCCCACCAGCCTTGAATTTTAACATTCGATTTGTTTAGAGTCTTTCACGGGAACCTAATGTGTCGGCCTTGATTAATGGAAGGTCTTGGCTATTACGACTTTTCAGGTAGGAGATGAGAAGATTAAGGAGTTCGCCTGGAACATGCTTGCATGACGAGAAACGTTAAAGCAACCTTATAAATTCGGCCACCTTATAGGAGTACTGTGATTCTGTCAAGTGTATGAT